GTGATACTACCAATTTCCTGGTCAAAACAAACATTTGCAATATTAATAACTCATCCTTTCAATATATTTTGCTGTCATCTACAGTTCAAGCACTGCGCAAAGGGATTTGTGCTCTGCTCTGGACACCACGCTGCAATACCACGCATGCTCCTTCTCTGCGGAAGGAAAATCCTTTGAGCTGCTGGGAGAACGCTCCCACCGCAGCAGGGACAGCAACACCTTCAAAGCCCAACTCCTGAGGCTGAGCTGCCGCCAAAGGCAAGGGTCACTTTCTGCTCTTGGTGACTTCTGTGGCACAGGTGTAATTTCAGATTCTGAAGCAGGGCTGTGAGCCTGGTTTTCCAGGGCTGCCTTAGGGATGCCACGGTAAAGCACAAAGCTGTGTTCAACCATTAGAACAAGCAATTCGCATCTCTCACCCTCCAGAGCAAGTGGGGAGGTCTCTGTTGCTACCTTGCATCAAGCAAAAAGCACTCCTTGTTTAAAGCAGTGAGGTGCAGTCTTCTGCTCCAGGATTGCAGGTGGCTCTGTGTTAGCTTGTCTGTGCTTTAAGGACTGCTCATGGCCACATCTGGCAGTGCCAGCATGATGCGACGCTTACCCACAGGATCTGGTGGTCTCATCCCACCTCTTGACTCATCTCCAGGGAGAAAATGCTTCTGAGCGTTCACCCAGGAACCTCCAGCTCTGTGTCAGTTGTGGCCACTGCTTGGATCTTGGGCAAACCTTGTGTTTTTTTGTTGCTCCCATGTGTTGCTCCTTGTTCCTGCCCTCACCTCATCTCCCAGGCCAAACCTGCTCTGGCCACTGGGGTTTGCCTGCTTTACCTTCAGCCTCCTTCAGCCACCTTCTGCCTCTGAGCAGCCATCTTCCCAGCTGCAGCCTTGCTCCCAAGTATGCACTTGTTCCTTGTCTGGATCTGGTACAACCTTGGTTTCTTGGTCCTCCACGCTTCCTTGTCCTGGTGGGGTGGATGGCTCCCCTCCTCACCTCGAGGATGCCCCTCACCCCCTGGCTTGGAGTTCATGCCTCAAATTGTTCAGTAACCAAAGTGTTAAAGTTTGGCTCATCTGGGCCTGTCCTGGCTTTTAACCAACTCAAGGCAGAAGAGCAGACAGCCCCAGCACAGGCTCTGGCCAAGGCAGCAGAACCCCCAAGGCTGAATGAGCTCTTCTATGTGAAAGTGCACAGGAAACAATCCCTGTGAGGAGGGAGCAAAGGCAAAGAGGCTGACGAGAGGCACATCAGGAGACACAGAATTCAAAGGACCGGCACTTGGTGCATGTGGTGCTGCTCAGTGCACCTCAGGTCTTGCTCACTGCTGAGAGAAGGACTGCCAGGCCTCAATCAGATTTAACCAACTACTGTGAGAGCCACTGCTCCATTAATTCTGACTGGTTTTCCCCCTTTGCCCTATGTGGACAAGCCCTGAACTGGAGCAGCATGGCAGAAACACAGGCAGCAAACCTGAGAAAGGAGAGAGCTGCTTTCATGCAGCGTCTCTTCTTCAGACCCAGAGTCTTGGAAAGGGTCCGTGAGGGCTCTGTGCTCCTGGATGCAGCCGCTGCAACTCTGTTCTCCCAAAAGGCAGTTGCTAATGTGCCACTGGTGGCAAAGGGCTAACCCAGCCACTGACACCAAGGGTTGAAGCCGTGACGCTTTGGGGAAATACCCGATCAGAGGGGCAGCGTGTGGGAGATCTGGAGGGCGAGGGCAGGGAGAGCCCCACTGGGCTGTGGTGGGGTTGAAGGTGCTGGGGCTGGGCCTTTGGGAGAGGGTGAGGGAGAGAGATCCCACATGAGGTCACAGCCTCACCCCATGGATGAGGCTGGGAGGGTGACAGCGTATGAGGCTGGGCTGTCTCCCAGTGCTGGATCCAGACCATTCTTGCAGGATTTAAGCTGTGCCACGTTGTCTCCCCCATCACCAGTCTATTGACAGTTGGCTGAACATGAGCCAGCAGTGAGCCCAGGTGGCCAACAGCATCTTGGCTTGTATCAGCAATGATGTGGCCAGCAGGAGCAGGGCAGGGATCCTTCCCCTGTACTGGGCATTGGTGAGTCAGCACCTCAAAACCTGTGTTCAGTTTTGGGCCTCTCACTCCAAGGACATTGAGGGGCTGGAGCGTGGCCAGAGAAGGGCAACGGAGCTGGGGAGGGGTCTGGAGCACAAGAATGATGGGGAGCAGCTGAGGGAGCTGGGGGGTTCAGCCTGGAGGAGGCTGAGGGGAGAGCTTATCACCCTCTACAGCTCCTGAGTGGAAGTGGCAAGGGTGAGTTGGTCTCTTCTCCCTGATAGCCAGTGATAGGACAAGGGAAAATGGCCTCAAGTTGTGCCAGGGGAGGTTTAGCTTGGATATGAGGAGGAATTTCTTTATTGTAAGGGTTGTCAAGCGCTGGAAGGGGCTGCCCAGGGAAGTGGTGGAGTCACCATCCCAGGAGGTGTTCAAAAGATGAGTGGATGTTGTGCCCAGGGACATGGTCTAGTGGTGGACTTAGGGGTGATTCGATGGTTGGACTCGATGATCTTAAAGGTCTTTTCCAACTCAAACCATGCTGTGATTCTATGCTGGGCTCCTGGTATGGACTGGGTGCGTCTGACCCGATTTCCAACTCGCCTGCTGCCAGCACTGCCCTCATTGGGTGCTCCCCAGGGCAGGGCTGAGGCAAGGAAGCAAGAGCTGTGCTGTAACATCCCCTCCTTCCTGCCAGGCAGGGCTGTGCTGCCCAGGCAAACCTTTCCAGCAATAAAAATGAAGTCGAGACCCACATCACACATAACATGGCTGAAGCGCCCGCTGCCCCATGAGAATAGCCCCTTGTTGGGAGGGATGGAGGTCCCCAGGGACCCCAGCAGAGCCCCGGGAGCAGCTGTGCTGCGACATGGAAATGCCAGCACCTAAACTGCCACAGTGTTTCCCATGGCTGCTGAAAAGGTGCCCAGATCCCATGGTGATGAGCAGCCCTGGAAACCTTCACCAGAGGCCGTGTACGGGTGGATAAAGAAAGGGGGGGAAAAGATTCAATTGCAGTGCATGAGTTCAGGCTGTGCCAATCTGGGGGGGTAGGACCCATGCCCAGAGCATGAGTGGACAGGGTCTGAAAACCTGTCTTGTGTTTTCTTTCTTTTTTAGAACAAGGTAAAACCTTTATTACAAGTTTTCATTCATAGGTATACATCTGAAAGACAGATATGGGGAAAAAAGTAATATTGTTATAAAATGTCACATTTATTGCTACATTACTGTTATATACAGGACAGTTCTCAAAATCTACTTTAAAAAAGTTAGGATTATTTAAAAATTCCAAATAATCCAGCCAGCTGTTTTGACACTTGTATAAAATTATTTAAAAAAATGAAAACAATTCATATCTTGAGGCACTCAGAAACACAATTTTATCCCTCAATTGTGATTCATTTCAAAGAACAACGCATTTCCCCACCCCCAAATACTTTATTTTTTTTTTTTGCTGGGTTAGGCATATATATATATATATTTACTATATATATAGTTCAAAACTATAATGTGTATCTGATTTAAGAACAAGGATTTCAGCCACTTAAGTACATCTGGATTTACAGGTAGGCAGCATAAACATCAAAAGCAAGGACCAATGTTTTTTTTTAAAGGCCAAAAACCAAAAA